TACATAGTGTAGTAGCGCTGCTTCGTTGAGGACATGTGGCTGTGTTATACATAATAAGGCAACTCTTTGAAATATAATTAAAAAAGACCTTAAAGGCAACTGATTGTCAACAAGGTTATGTTTCTGTTCTCTTTTTTTGAAGAGGATGCTGAAAGGTTCTTAATAAGGCTGGTGTATTACTTGGACAGGATACTGACTGGCCTCATCAACACAAAGAACAGTTTTCATAAAGCTCTGAGTGAATGAGTTGGTGTCACATTGCTTTAGTGTTGACTGGAATACCTCTGACCCCAGCTCCAATTATCAGCTCCTAAAAAAGACCCATGCTCTCTTGAGGAAACAGTTTGAATTACTGGGAGCCTGTGGGAATGATGGGATTTTCCATAGCAAAACATCGTGCCTGAACAGCTGCTCTTTGATCTTATAAAATATTTTCCACCATGTTGACATATGAAAAAGATAGAAATATTAAATAGACTGATAACATTTTTCCAAAAATAGTCTATTAATCTATTTTCCAATTTTTAAATACACCAGAACCAGCACAAACATCAACTGTATGGTTCAATAAAAAAAAATTGGAAATAGATACTTAAATCATCTGTCTTTTATGTATGAGAACATAACTGAAAATCCAAATATTTTTGTTTCATCACAACATTTATTATTTATATAATTCTACATTTAGACATTACTAAGACAGATAAATCAGACAATCTAAAATGTAATTGATAAATGTGGCTCATAAATAATTTAAGTAAAAAAAAAAAGCCTTCATTAGGAATGTGGGCTACACAGTTGTACAGTGGGTAGCACTGCTGCCTTGCAGCAAGACGGTTCCTGGTTTAAATTCCCGGCCTAAGATCTATCTGCATGGAGTTTGCATGTTCTCCCTGAGCATGCATCAGTTCTCTCTGGGTACTCCGGCCTTCTCCCACAGTCAAAAAACAGAACTTTTATTTTCATTGGCTAAATTCTCCTTAGGTGTGAATGAATGAATGAATGAATGAATGAATGAATGAATGAATGAATGAATGAATGAATGAATGATTAGGAATACCATAAATTCTGGAATTGGCCTCTGTAGACTTGCCATTTTATCTCACAGATGATCTCAGGTATCCTAAGAAGGGTAATCAGGGCACTTGGTCTGGCAAAACTCTGCAAAAATGTTTAGTATTGTGTTGATTAACATTGCAAAATGAGGTTTTATTGTAATGATATTTTCTTTACAATATTTACAACACACACCTTGCTCATTTATAAGTTAATTAAGTTATATTTAAATTGGTATTCAAACTTTTCAGTCTTACATAAGCAGAGGCTTAGATAAAATAATTTACTGTTTGGAAAAGATCAATTAAGGTGTTTTTCTTTTGTTACCTTCATAAACGTCCCTTTGATGCTATAATATCTAACAACCAATTAGTTTGTTTCTCTCTCCAACTATTTGTCTCCTTTTAATCCATTTGGTAAGGCTTTAATTATGCAAGTTCTGAAATAAATTTTGACAATGAAACTTGTTTTGAGATCATAAGTTATTGATGGAAACCTTTCTGACTGAACAGAGACGGTCTTTAAAATTTTTTCTGCTATATATAAGCTGCCGTTTACCACAACTTGGTTTTAATTCTTATGGTTTTCCTTGTGGCCCTTAAAGTGGTTTCCACACTCGAAAATATGTGGTTAAACTTGAACTTGATTTTTGGTTTTGACATTTCTTTAAGCTTTAAATTATGAAGCCTGTCTTTTATTTAAAAACTTCCATTGCCATTATCTATCTCATCTTTGATTGGGTGTGGATCACACGAGTCCATGGTCTATCTTAAAGACACTGATCATCTGTCCCAACGGTCAGTTAACTAAGTTTGCTATAAGGTCCAATATATAGTAGATTATAGGGTGAAATAATTTTACAATTTCAGTATTTTTTTTTTTCTATAATGAGAAACAACATTTTTGGAGTCAGCTTTCCCTGACCTACCCACTGACTTATTGAGGGGTCTGAAATCTAAACTGCATCCTTTATTTTATTATTTTTATAGAAGTAGTGATTTTTCTGTCCTCTTCATCCAGCAATAATAATGTTATATTTCATTTGAATAAAATATAATGAATGGAAAGTGTTGCTAAACATTTCAATTAAGATATTAATTCAATTAAGACTAATTAAGATGTAACTGATTTTCACATGTATTGAATATTGGATTCTAAGGTCAGAATTAATGAGAAAAACTTCAAATGTTCATGTCAGAAATTCAACATTTGGATTTGGTGAAGCTAAGAGTCCTCAAAAACAGAAAAAAACAGAAAATACTGTACAAGTGGGAGCTGGCTTAAAAGGCAAGCATCATTGTTACAGCTCATTGTAAAAGCTTTCTTTAAAAAGCAGATTATATTAGATTTGCTTTCCCACAATGTGGAACTCAGAACTGACTTTCTTTTGCAATGGTTTGTGATCTTAACTTTAATTCTTGTTATCAGAATCAATTGTATTGGCCAAGCTTGTGTGAACAAAGAGGGATTTTAACGTGGCTTTCCATTGCTTACATCATTATTAACATAACCACAATATCTAGAAAGCGCACATAAAGGCGATGGAGACAGGATTATAGTATAAGTGTACATTTTTGGTTTGTAATATGGTTAAGGGTCTGTACCTGTGTAGATATATCTTCATCAAGTCACTGCTTATAGAAGCTTAAAACTAAGTCTTTTGTAATGGTAGTAGCACTAATGTTAAATTACACTAAAACTAAATTATGAAGTTGCTTTGCATTAAAAAGTTTTTTTTCCTAAACTTTTTTGTTCATCTATTTTGTTCTGCATTAAAACCAAAAGATTTAGAAGAGGTATCTTGGTTGCAGCTTAAAAGCATACAGCTTTGATTTTCTCAAATTTCTTTACTCTCAACCTGCCCATGCCCCTCTGCTTACTCTCATGTCATCCGAACCACCCTTGTGGTTTTCTTGGCTGTGATTGACAGCCACCCATTTCACTCTGCTTTTTAATTGCATCCCTAACCCTCAATTTGCCTGCCCGAAACTGCTTCAAAGAAAACCCGTACTCATACAAAAGCTCCTGAAGATTGCACTTCCTTTTTTCTTAGACCAGCTGAGAGTGCAAATTGAAAGGATGGCATCTAATCCAGCTGCTAAAAGACTTTTTTTTTTTATCCCATTGTTTAACTGGAGACTGTTTTTATTTTCACTCTGGATTTGTGTTTAGGTATGCAGCCTGTGTGACTTACAGGCTGCTCTGAGGCTTTGTATGTAATGCTTGGTTGACATTTTCATGAACCTTTTGCGTGTAAGCTTGTGCCCTAAAATGAGTGGACGGATGTACGTTTCTGTGCTTGTCTTTGAAGTTTGCACACCTGTTATAAAGCGTCATGAGAAGCAGTGATTCATCCTTTTAATGTTGTAGCAGAAAGCCCCATGCCTGTTTACAGTGCAAACACAAAGAATCAGAGGTCAACAGCATGTCAAACCCTCACATGCTGGTCGTTATTTTTAGCCTCCAGATCAACTTCACAACAGTTTGAAAAACTGTCTTTGCAGCTTTCAATTGTGGATGGAGAACGTTTACATGTCTTTCTGTTTTAGGGAAAATAAGCTAAGGTTTGGTCTTTTAAAGAGGAGTAGATTGTGTTTTTTTTGCGTTACTGGTCAGTGATTTTGTTGCCCTGTAATTTACAGTTATGACTTTCCTGTTTAAAGATTCTCTGTAGTGATTCAGCAAATTTAACCCTACAGCCTATACTGTACAAATCTTCTTCTGCTGTAAAGTTTAATTTTTAAAGTCTTGTTAATTTCCTTATTATTGAATTCTGTGCGTTTGCAGATTCAGATATCTGATTTTCAGAGGATAATAAAACATATAAAAGGAGAAAATGTGCTGCAGACTTTTTCATAGAGATTGTGTTTTACATCTGACATTATATAAAGAAATCCCCCACTTCTCCCCGATAAAGAACCACAGCATATGTCCTTGAAATTTCCCATTTGTATTGAATTTTTAAAGTATGTTGATGTTTCAAAGATGCATTTAATATAGTAGGAAAAATTATCATGTTTTTCAGTATTGGATCTGCAAATCACTGATCAGAGTCAATCAAGGGACAGATTAATGCATATGTAGTGGAAAAAAAAAAAAGATGGACAATAAGATTATGACAGGTCCCTACCTGCTGTAAACATGTTTGCTTTGAAAATAAGAAATAATTTAGAGAATAGTATTGCATTTTATGCCAAATACAGACGTTGTCGCAGCGGATATTGTTGAGCACCAGTGGGAAATTATAAAAGTAAGATGTCAAACAGAGGAAGATGAGCTGCCACATGTTTTGAATCCCCGCAGAGAGGATCTAAAGCTGCACTTGTCAAACAAAACCTCTGTAGTTTGGTGCAACTATAGATTCATGCATAGTCAGTTTCTTATATATAAACTCCTTTATTATGACTTGGATTGTGTGGAACTTTTTAACTTCCTGCCCCCCTTTTATCTGTTCAGAAATACAAACTTTTTCTTGATGCCAATATAAGGGAGGAGTTTGGTAACTAATTATGAAGGAGGCTATTCAGATTATTCAGATGCTTGCTTTGCTCCCCCCTCCTTTCTTTCCCCCCTGGCAATGAAGGGTCTTTTCTGTCCCCAGAGAGTGATGTCAGCATGGCCCATTGAAAACAGCCGCCGTGTGCTCAGAGATGAATGCCCTGGCTTAGCACAATGGCCCCAATTTGAATAGCACGCGGATATGTGCCAGATCGGAGCTGTGACAAAAGAAAGAAGGGCTACTCCGGTCTCATTTAGCCATGCTGTTATTTCAGTAGCCATAAATTTGCGACATCCATTTATGTCTTTTGTTGTTTTTAAGTGTTGTTGTAGTTTGAAACCAGTCGATGACCTATACAGGGCTGCCCTCTCAACTTTTGGACTGGATTTTGTTTTGGTGGCTCGTAACTGAAGAGGATTTTTTCTGTTTGTGCTTCTGGCCACAGATCTACACGGACTGGGCCAACCACTACCTTGCCAAGTCAGGACACAAGCGTCTCATCAAGGACCTCCAAACGGATGTGACGGATGGTGTTCTGCTGGCTGAGATCATACAGGTTGTTGGTAAGTTAGCTCTAATTTGGTTTGTATCTTGGCATATTCAAGCTTTGCTCCTTATGTGATCGAGGGAGAAAAATAGAGTTTACTTATCTGTAAAGCTGCTTTTATTTTGTTATTATCTCAGAAAACTTCATCTTCTTCATCTGATGTCTTTTTGATGTCATCTTTTTCTAGCTATTATGTATTTAATCTTTTTAAAGTTTACCTAGCCCCTAATTTCTGTGTTAATAATATAGCCTCTAGTAATACTTTTGCCTCAAATAATCATGTTTCTAAAGTAAACATGTAATATCTTTAACATTAGGTAAAGTATGGTTATTCTGCCTGCAGGGGGCTGTGAAAGTTAGTTGTTCCCGTGTGTTTTTTGAACTTTGACCCACTCAGCGTCATCATCATCATCAGTCTTGTCATTTTGTCTGGCCGCCCTTGTCCTGTCATTGTATCTACTGCCAGACTCGAAGCTGAAACAGGCCGACACCAGCTGACAGTGACTCAGCAGCATGCGAATGACTGCTTCGTCTCCCGGCTCTTCTCCTGTGACCCAGATTTGAAACTTCCCAATATATGAACGCTGACATTGTTCTCATAGTGTAGCTGTTTTATGACTCTTATTTAGGCTGGATCTGTCTTCAAGCATTTCTCCACTTCTTTATTAACATTTCGTCATCATAAAACCAAAAACTTTTCTTTATTTGGATTTCAAAGTTTTCAACAATTAAAAATCTGGATGCACTTATATTTATTTGTTCATTTACTCTTATTCATGTTAATTAAACCCTTTTCAAGTGGTTGCCTTTAGAAGTTAGTTAATCAGTAAGTAATTATCTTTTGTGGGTAAAGTAATTTTCGCATGTACAGTAAGTACAGCTATCCTTTAAAGGCCTCAGAGGTTTGTTGGAGAGCAAACTGCATCAGGAAGACCAAGAAACATAGCAGACAGGTCAGGAAAAAACTGTGCACTTTAAAAAACTGTTTAAATCATAAAACTGCTACGCAAACTTTAAGAATCTCCCAGATTCATGCTTAAATGATCATTTGAAAAAGGAAAGAGGATGGCTAAACTTAAAAGATATCCAATCTTTTTTCTGGAGAAGGTGCTTAGATCCACAGCTAAGGTCGAAGAAGATGTTAATGGTTAGTAACATATGTCACAAAATGAGTGGCACAAGGAGAGAGGCCGTAAAATATCCCGCATTTTCTTTCAAAATTACACACCATAGGGAAACAACAACGGTTAGAATGGCCTAGTCAAAGGCAAGCCTTACAGTCTGTTTATGAAAAGAACGGGATGGATTGAAGTCTTGTCCAGATATTTATTTGGTAACACAATGTCAATCACAAGAATTACTAAATCTGCTGAATGCTGATACAAAATAAAAGTAGAAAACGATCATTTAAAAAATTTAAAGTACTAAGTTTAAGTCCGTGGGTCTTTTTAACCCTTTTTTTGTGTTCTGGATCCTGTCATGAATAGTAAAGAAAAGACCCTCTGTTAAATTATTTGACAAACAAATGATCCATCCATGAGTTTCTCAATACGGTACTGCCAACTTGGTGTGTGGAAAAAATGTCCCATTAGCAGCTCTACTATCTTGTTTAAAGAGGGTTGATTATTTAAAAATAACATAATTTCTTTTATGAAATATTCAGTGATTCAATTGTTTGGTTCCATTCCAAGAGTGGAGAGGTTCAACCCCAGATAATAGGGAGAGTTACGGGGTGGTGGGGTCACCTATCCAAATGAAGGCTTTTTTCTTCCCCCTCTACAAGATAAAGAGGAAAAAAAAAAACCACATGATCCTGTGATGGAGCTGCTCTTTTGGCCCCGCTGTGTCTCTGATGCAGAAGTCTCTGCTGCTGGCACAGTTGTCAGCTGTGATCTGATGGCGGTGTCTCAGCTGCGATGGGCTGGGCCTCTAATGGAGGGGAGTGAGCCTTAACACCCTAACCTCCCCCCAAACATACACACACACGTTAAAAAAAGCAGCACAACACTGCTGGCCGGGGCCTCAGTGGCATTGCCACCATTTGTCGGGGCCAGATAATGTCTCATGTCTCTGTGATGGGGGGGTGGGGGGTTGGGGGTCACTATTACAGCCACCAGCATGTGCACCTTTGCTGCTTTGCACTTATACACCAACTGTCTAGGACACAAATATACCGGAGTCTCCATCCTTTGGAGTAAAGTGGAGGAGTACTATGACTGAACAGACTGGGATGAGTTTTTAATTTCTCCTCCTTTTGTCTCTTTTTTCTCCTTTTTTGTCTTTTCTTCAGCCAATGAGAAGATTGATGATATCAATGGTTGTCCCAAGAGCCGTTCTCAGATGGTAAGTGACCTGCAAAGTTTGTTTTGGGAAGGAGCTGTAAAATCCTAAGAGACGGTGTGTGTGGGTGTGTGCATGTGTCGGGAATATACTCTTCCCCCACTGGAAGCTGTGGTGCAAAAGTCAGTGTGAGTGATTGTAGATGGGAACCGTTAGTCCATTTATATTTACTTTTATGGTCTAGTGGGCTACCGTCTGTGAAACATCTGGCCGAGACTTTGGGCGTTTGGCACTCAGTTAAAAGCATGCTAGGTTTGGGTTTTGGAGTCACTTATGCTTCATCTTGTTACAGTTGTAAAGAGGAGAGTATTTTCTCACAACTTTAAGAGTAAACACAGATCTTGAAATTTAGAGCCGGTGACAAAAATATTGAGACTGTATTCTGGAGATTTTTGTTATAGAGAGCTTTGTAGAAAGTGTAGAATTTGAATTATTTCACTATTTTCTGTTCTTGTTAGAAAATGAACCAAGCATCCCAAGGCAGGACCACCCTCTGCTGCATGTGATGGGTTATAAATTGAGCCAGTGTGCCAGCTGAGGGGGGGTATTTTTGGCCACCAGCCAGATTACTGAAGCCTTTCTAAGCACTAGAGAGACAGAGGGAGAGACATACACACCCAATTTTAACATCTGAGACTCCATAAAATTCACAGCTGATCCCTGAACCCTCATAGCCTACATACCCGGATTGGCCCCATAATGTGAGGGCATTTATTTCACACTGATCAAATTTTTTGTTAGGATTTTAAATAATCTTTTTCTTCATTAAAAAAAAATATATATATATATATATATATATATAATGAGTAAAAATTATAAATAATACATAATGAGTAAAAATAAATAATCCTTTGAGTAAAACTTTTCCTCTACATGAATGAAGATCCATTTACGTTTATAACAGAAGATGTGCCACACTTTAAATTTGAACTTGTTGTTTTTTTATGAAGTTGAATGAAATAACATCAATTGTTAAATGAACCAAAAATATGACACATATTAGGTTTAAAAGACTTTTGTTGGAAAACTCTGCCTATCATCTTCATTTAAAGCAAAACTTTAATTCAATATAAAATCAGTTTAACAAGTTCAGAGGATTATGACTCCCAATAACAGCCCTTGATCAACCTTGACTGTTATGTTGCATAATTAGCACAGAATATTGTTAGCCAAAAGAACAGAAGAAAACAATTGTCTTATTGTATAAATAATTTTAGCCTTTTTAATAATGTGCATCTTATTAGGTACCGAATTAAAATGGAAAAACTTGTATTAATTTGTTGCTTCTTTTGTTGCAGTAATTTAATCCTCTCCTACTTATGTGCAATAAAAAATTTTAGATTTTTAACAATAATAAAACAGCAGAGAACTGGCCCTTAGAATAAACATATCGGGCATAATATGATTTATTACGTGTCATAAAATTTCATCTTTCCCCTTGAATTGAATTTAACCTGAAATTCATTGATGTTAACTCCCAAATAGGGACATTTCTGCTAACCCCAAAATGCTTTACATGTTGGGGCTACATTTTCTAATCGTCCTTTCACCCTGTTTATAGTTAGACATGGTCTACATACTTATGGTCCCTGTCGCATAATTTGTTAGGTGATCATATTTAAAGGAAGTTTTAAAATTGTAAGGTTTTCTCATATTTACCTCACATATGAACACAGATTTGTTTACTTCAAACTACAAAGAAGCCTCCCTGTCATCCTCACAGTGGATGGATACTACAAAGTGCTATACAGTTATGAGTTTTGAAGACTTAATAAAATCCAGGACTCTGGATTAAAAAAATAAGTGAAAGATCGTTTGCATTATTAACCATATCAGTGCACTTGGTCAACCTACTAAGCTGCAAGCAGAGTCACCTGCACAGCAGATGGCGCAATAAGCACTTAATCCACCTTAAATGCTTTTCCATGGAGTAGTATTGCTATTGATGATGATGATTGATGATTACTTTATTCAACAGACTATTATATAGCAGGAAGCTAAAATTCAGTAAACTTAAGGTATTTCAGTGCAAGTATATATTTTGTTTGGCCCTAAAAATAAAGGTTGCCCTAAACATGTTACATAGATGGAACAACACAAAGTTAATTCATGCTGACTTCTTCTAGGTGTCATACCATTAGTGCCTACTAGCTTTAAACACATGACTTGTGCTTTTATCTATTTGTTCCCTTTTTTTTTACCCCTCAGCCTTACAAATATAACTCTGATTATCATCAACAGTCATTTTACAAAAACGTTTCGTCTGTGTGTCTCGGGCATTCACAGTATTGTTTGATTAATAGTGGCTATCAGATGTGCTTTGAATATCCTTTTATAAGCTCAGTTTCTAAGCTTATGTGGGAATTAATGGATCTCTAGATATAATTTGCTTTGAAATAGACTTCAAGCAGTCAATCCTTGGTGAGGGCAGGTGCAACCGCAGTCATTATGCTAATCACTGCATTGTCTGCCGTGGTTTTGTCAAAACATACACACCCATAGTTTATTTGACATCTGGCTTGGAAAATTTAACATTGTTTTATTGCCAGTTATCACCGTTTAACTTAACCATGACCTCTAAATGAAACAACAAAAACAAACCCTTTATACTGTAGGTGAAAGAAAGTGTAGCACCCTCACCCTGCAGTCCAGCTCCTTGATTAACATGCTGCCTGTTTTTACAACTGTCACATCCTTGTTGAACGGACCCCCATTGTCTGGTCATTGCTCTACCACCCAGATTGTTGGTTTAGTCCAGAGTAAGGGTTTGATTTCACTCTGAGCTGTGAAAACCACACAGGACGCCACAGGGAGGCACACAAACAGTGAAACATGGCCAGCCTTGTCCAAGTATGAAAGCTGAGTCTTTAAGGTGATCCAACGTTTTCTTGCTGCAAGATGTAAAGAGAGGAGTTTGCTGCGTTATTTTAGATGCTAATAACATGTTTGCTAGACTGGTTTGATCTGCCTTTTTTTCTGTTACTGTGAGAACAGATTTAGCTGAAATGGGAGACTGACAGTTACCTGAGTAAAAACCAGAATGGCCGGGTATTTAATGTGCCTTTCTACCTGTATGTACTTGTTAAAAATCTCAACTGACAGTAAGGCTGTCCTGTAAAAAAATATTTTCCCAGGTTTCACACAGAAATGCAGTTTGATTTGAAATCAACTCACAGGCTTTAAGATGCTCCATAATAGGTTCTAATGGATTTTAGTGAGAGGTGAGTGTTTTTATATTTCTGCGCTTGGTAAACAAGTGTGATTTGGATACTCTTAGCTGACTGGCATGTGTTTGACAGTTTCAGTATGTGCTGCTGTGTTGAAAAGCATGGAAGCATTGTTTAGGTTTTGGATATGTAGATCAGACTGTTTAGACACTTTCCAGTTTCTGGTCCATTTTCATATTTGCCTTGAAATCCTCTGAACTTCCATATCAATGTGTTTTTGCAACATGTTTTTTTATTGCGCCGCCACACTATAGAAAAAAAAAATGCACATTGCGCCGAAAAGCCGCCACACACACACCCCCAAAAATCTGGAAAAAAAAAAATTGTGTTGTATACACACTGTGCATAAAAAACGACAATAAAAGCTGTCTAAGTCCAGCTCAAAAAATTTCACATGGATTTCAAAAGAAGAAGTTGAAATTTTTCTCTCATCCAGAGTCATTTAATATAAGGATTTTGTTTTGAAATCCCTGGTGCATGCTTGTTTAGTTTTGCAGGTACAGTAGCTGACTCAAGTAAAGATGAACCAATATGAATTTTCTGGTTAATCTTGCAGCTCAGTTCTCTTTAAATATGCAATTTACTTATACCATTACATTTACTTTATTCCATTACATTTGTCCTGCAACATATATATATATATATATATATATATATATATATATATATATATATATATATATGATTAAAGGGTAATATCTCAACATCTGGAAGAAGGCAGTCACACTAAAACACATCTCTATAGAATATAGGTCGTGAGTTTAACTTAATTTCCTGAATTTCCAGAAAGGTGTCAGCATCTTCAAATGACAGAGGTTGCAAACATAAATGGAAAACAGAGCAACATTCCTGTACTCTGTGTAGCCATCCTGCGTTCTACTGATTTTTCTCTCTTATCCTCTGAAAGCTCAAATGATATGCAGACCTTTAATCTTTGATAGCAAACTTTATTCCTGTTATTACTCTCTTGGCAAGCATGTTATGTAGTTTTAGTCGCATTTTGGTGATCTGTAGTCATTTAAGATTTAGTTTAGTTTGAATTATTGAATAATTTCTAATTCTGCTGTTAAAAAAAAAGCCTTGCAGTCCTTAATTCTGTTGTAAATAAGCCTTGCAATCCTTTATTAAGGACCTCTTAAAAATACCGCAAGCAGGCTTGAATTGGAAGGCAACTGGACTTAAAGGTATAAAGGAGGATTTTTTAAAAGACCCGCCCTCTCTACTTAAAAAAAAAAATAATGCACATGCACAACCCTGTACCCACTCCTAAGAGGGAACACCTATTAAATGCATGCATGAGCCCATTTCTTTTCTTTCGTGCTCTGTTTAAAAGTTGCTGTTCTCATAGCTCATACAGGCTTACTGTGTCTGAATATCCGCCCTAACCCCTAAATCCCTCAATCACTATATAGAGCGGGGACTATATAGTAGACTTTTTAGTGAACTCAATTAACTGCCTGTTTGGGCAGATGATCACCTGCCATCTTTGTTATTAACTGTCAGGTAGCATCAGCCTATGGCGACAGCGGGCAGCTGACAGCAAATCCCATAATGCTTTGCAAGGAGAGCTTTCCGCACAAAGCATTCTTAGACTTGGACAACCTTTATTATAATTTATAATTTCATTTATTACAGCTTTATTACAGCTTTTCAGACAGTAAATTAACATTTCCATTCCATAAAGTGCAGCAGTGATCAAGTGTAAACAGTGTGCTTGAAAAAAATAATGCTGCAAAAAAACGTATTGAAATGGAAGTTCAGAGGATTCATATATAT